TTCAGGTGGGGTGTTGGTGTGTGTTGTTTGCCCGCTCCTTTGAGCGTTGTTCGTCGTGTGGGGTGGGGTTGTTATGCGTTAGTAGGTTTGGGTGAGATACAGGGAGGCGGCGGGTGGGTTTGGTGGTGTGATCGTTGTCGGGGCTGGGAGGTTAGTGGCGGTTCACTTGAAAGACGCGTTCGGTCGAGTTAGGGTGGGTGGGGGAAGGGTAGGTAGGAAGGAGAGGGTTCGGAGAGTATGGGGGGGTTAGCGGGGTGGGGGAGATGTGGGCTGGGGAGATGTGAGAGTAGGGGTTAGTATGTGGGTTGCTTGGCACTTCACTGCTAGGTCGTTTCTTGGGCTGATACGCTGTCCGCTTCACTGACGCTCCCAGCTGCTTGGCTGGCCAGGTTCTTTCCCTTTTGGGCAGGGCGTTTCCGCTGGCGATGGCGGCTGAGTGCCGGCTCTTTTCGTTCTTCCCCTTGGTCCGCCCTGGCTGTGGAGGACGCAGGTGCCGTTTGCGTCCATATCTTGGGTCGTGGCCGCTTGTTTCTTCGTCCTCGGTTAGGCGGCTGGGAAGAGAGGTCCTCCGTCCGCGACGGTCGTCGGCGTGGTGCTGGTAGCTGTGTCCGTTGAGGAGCGAGCTGGCTCGCTTTCTCGTCTCTTGGCGGATGGGCGATTGGGGGAGACACTCACGCTCTAGGCGTGAGCTGTCCAGCCGAATGTCCCCGGTCGGTTATGGTGTCAGGTACAGAGCTCGATGGTGGGGCTCACACTCTTGGCGCGAGCTGGCATGCATGCAGGGGCGATGGCGGCCGTGTTGAGCCGCCCTGTTTTCGAAATTCGAAACACGAGCCAGGCGCTTTCGCGCGCGGCGGCGGGCTGGCTGGAGTCGGGTGCTGGACGCGAGCGCGAATTAGCGCTGCGTAGCGCTATCGGATGGCGCGAGCGCGATTCCTTTACACATTGGATTGGATCCAGACTTGACATTTGGGATTCAGAAATTTCGACGAGGGACTATTTGGGCCTGTGCCGAAGACTTGGTGTTGACGACATTCCCATCTTCCCCTCCTCTTCGTCTAACCCCTTCTTCTTCATCTGTGTATGGTAGGGGCTGGCGCAGGCTTCCTGTGTGAAGCGCCAGACCCCATTCACACCATGTAACGATGATGATGATGATGTATGTTCAGGGCTGCATTGCAAAATTGATTGTTTGGATCACTGGTATCTAAGTCTTCCGCTGTGCTATCTTATACTTTGTATTGAGAGGTCGGTTATTGTTCTGGTCTGCACCGTTACAGTATGCAACAGCCTCACTCTATCCGGCCCGGTCAGATCCGGGCGAGCAGAACCCGCCGGTCGCCGGCCCAACCCTGCCATTTGTTGGATTCAATTTACCCTAAAAAAGTCAGCCTTTTTTCAATACAACGCCCCTTCAAATATTATCCCCTGGGATTTCATTCCAATAGAACACCCAGGCGTTCCATTTGAAAAGAACACCCAAGAGTTATATTTTGATGAAGCATGGGTAGAATGCCTTGTGGAGGAGGGGGGGGGAGGGAAGCATACATGTAGTTCGAAGGGGCTTGAAAGGGCTTTTAACTTCAAAGAGGTGTGATTTGGTTTGACTTTTCTATTTTGTTTTTTTATCTTCAAGTCAATAAACCATGGCAAATTTTTGTTTGCATCAGAGTTGCACAGGCCAATGCTCGGCGCCCCTTGATTGGCCAGCTGCCGACCAGCCGACCCCCGAAGTTGCTACTGATTGAGTGAACACAACGCCCCGGTGTTATACTTGTATACAATGCCCGGTTGTTATTTTCGGGTGAAGACTCTAGTTTTACGGCAGTGTACATTCTGAAGATTGAAATAAGATCTTGTATCTGCCTTCACATTGCGTTCTCTTGAAGGTGGGAGTAGCTCTCTTGAAGGGAGGTTGGAACACAGGCACATGGGAGAGAGGGGTGGGGTAGAGGGGAGCCAGTAAGATGACTGGGGAAGAAGCAATCTTGCTACTGCTAGGGGGGCGGGTTTCTGAGGTTATCAGCAGCTGGATCTCACCAGCCATGTGATGGGGTAAATAAGCCGAATGATGGACTCCGCCACAATTGTCAACAATGAGTACCTAGTTGCCACGACAAGTCACAATACGTATTCAGAACTTCCATTCCCATATGTTCCTTTTGAAAACACATTTTGTGAGCCATACTACAAGGTTCATTGTCGCCAAATATGCCCTGTACAAAGTCTGATCTGCTCTATCAAACAGGTCCACGTTAGCCTACAGTCTTTACCCAAATAGAACACCCAATCCTCACAGCCGTATTTGGGGCGATTCTCAGTCTACATGCAGCTATAATCTCAGTCTGTTTGGGTCAACATGGTTGTATACACACACAAAAAAAAATAAAAAATAAAAAATTGCAACTTGGTGTAATCTAAGGTTGAATGGTACATAAGAATTCACCCCGAACAGTTCAACATATGCAAAAACCCCGCTTACGGTGATTAAGAGCAGGACAGCTAGCCCATATGAGAAAAACAAACTGGAAAAAAAATTAAAAATGTATTAAAAAAAAAAAAAGAGCAGGGGCAAGACAGGATTGGAATAAGGAATACGCCGAGAAAGACAGGAGTTTAGAGACCACACAATGCAGGAGGCACAGTGGCGTCGGAACAACTACCAAAACCACAGGATACATAAATAAGTAATACACAGCTACATGTGATTACTCCAGGGAAGGATGGTATGGACTATAACTAGACCAGCAAACTAAATATATTGAAGGACTGCTTTGAGAAGGTACCTGCTTGAGCGAAGCAGTACGTGTCTTTCCAAGAGTACAACTGTGAAAAGCCGGATCAAGTTGTCAACATCCAGGCATTGCACCAATGGCTGAAAAGAGAACTGCAGGGGACACAGCAAATAAAAATTTCAACAATCATCAACATGCTCAAAATTCTTTGTACAAAAATATGATGCACACACGAGCAATCAGACGTCAAGAGGACTTTCTGCGGGAGCAAAGTTGATAACCAGCAGAGGATTGCACAAGACAAGCAATCTGAGTGCTGCACTTGTACACTGGAGCCAAACAGCAACCAGCTTTCAGATTAAAATCCACAATAATCATTGTCTACATGCGACGGGGAGGACATCACGGCCCTCTGTTTTTGACAGCACATGCACACCGCAACTCTTCTACAGCATGTCTCTCCAACTCACCGACGGCATTTGAAACAAATGTCAGCTGTGAGCCATATATACAAGCACTACCGTCTTCCCCCGAACACAAGGCACCCTCATTTTGGCTGTACCTGACCGGAAACATAGCTTGTATACACTCATAATCAGGGTGCATTATTTTTGGGGGAAGACGGTAGGGGCTGTAGTCCATGGACGAACCATTCCTGAGCAGAACTGGACCACAGTATGCACAGCCTGACACTTAGGAGCAGATATGGTTCGAATGGTGGTGCAATCAGACTCGTCTTATTCACACTTTTCATGCATGTAAACAGCAGTGCAGCAAACTGGCGACCAGCGCCCACTCAATACTCAGAGATATGGCTTCCAGATAAGAGTTCACTTTCAACTGGCTATGGCGACTCAGCGCCCAATCAACTCACTGTTCACATACACTGGATCACCCTGGATATCCCACACGCGTCACTCTGAACACTCACACATACACACACACACTTCACACTAACTACAGCTATGGCAGCTATGGCTGCCTCTACCCTATCGCTATGCTAACTCCTCTCTCGCCCACTGCGTCCTCCGGGCTCACTGCAGACCTCCTTGCACAAGTCGCTGTGGCAGCGCTTCCGCATGGCTCACGCAGGAATGAATGAAAGGCTGGGCGCTGCCTCTTGATTTATACTTCTGCAGGTCGTTGGTCTGGCCCATTTCCCTTGCCCCAAGTGCACACAGTCCCGTGCGGTACTTGCTTGACTGACTGGGGACCGGGACTGTTGGCTCAGCAGGGTGGACTTCCCCCACTTGCCCACTTGCCTCACCACTTGACCACTTGCCTCTGCTTAAACGTGGGCAACTCACGAAAGGCCACTACTGGGACCTTCCGGAATGCCGTAGACTTGGCCTTTCGTGACTGTAGCAGCTAGGACTCTGACCCTTCTGGACTGTAGCAGCTACAACCTTGACCTTTCAAGAATACTACAGCTACGATGTCTAGACCTGACTAAGACTCCTATCCGACAGGTCTACAGATCGAACCCATGCTACCTATGGACCCTACGACAACCTATCAGCTATTACAAATACACAGGTCGCGGGTTCAACTCTACGGGTCGACACAGGTAAGGTTGGGGTCTAGGGATCAAACCCTGGGATCTGCAGCAGCTACTGCTAACTGGTGAATACCGTTTCAGTGGCCCTGATTTCGTAATTCATTTGAAGCACAACTGTCAGGAAATATCAAAACCCCCTGGGAAACATAGTGTTCTGGTAATGGTTCCACTTTTGAAGACATCGTCAGCGCCGTAGTAGTTACGAGACTTGGTTCCTGAGGCTGAGGGTGCCGGTTCGAGGCCGTGCGTGCCCGGTGGGGCCTGAAGCACTAAAGCACGGATCAGAATCTACAACTGTGCTCCCTTCCTTGACAACACCCCATGCCAAGAGTTTCATATTAAAAACACGGCAAAGGTGAGATACCACTCGCAGAGCAGGAATAGAACAAAGATTGGTGCTTGTTGTGCAAACAGGCACAAGCACAGTACTAGTTTGGGGCAGCAAGAGTGGTACTCAGTGAAAACAAAAACGTTAAACCACCACTACCTTTCACAGGCAAACGCAAAGTCCATCTAGTAGCCTACTACTGAAAACACGGGGCTCGGGGCAGAGTTGGAGGCCAATGAAATAAAAATCAGAAAGAGGGAAACAAAAAAAAACAAAAAAAAACAAAGAGTTTCGAACTTTTGAACCCAGGGACGTCGGGGAAGGCCCTCACGAGGGTGGCATGTAACACCAGTGCTTTGAGTAAATGTATCTGGCCACTATGTGGGGTTGGAGTTTGCTTTTGTTTTTTATGTTTTTTTTTTGGTTTCATGTCGTTGTAGTGCCCGTATTTCACGAGGGGGCACATAACTGTCCGAATCACAGCATAAGGGAGTTTTTTTTTTTTTTTTCTTCGTTGCTGGTCTGCTAAACGGGCACAGTCACACGAGCACCTCATAGAATGTATCTGGTGGTTATTGTGGCATTGGGAGGTTTCTTTTTTTTTTCCTTGTTCCTTCTTGGACGAAACTGCCCCGGCTCAGCAGAACTCAGAGTGCAGCGAAAATCAGGCTCGGCAAAAACAGGATCGGAGGTAGTGGTGCAGGAATGGTATACCTCCCTCTAGTAATGCTGATCCTAAGCATGTGTTCTATAAATTCATAATAAAAGGACAAAAGAATACCGTTGACCACTGATCAACCCAATGTGTCCAGTGCCGAAATTGTTGACTACCTTCTTAACCCCAAAAAAACGTACGTACCTTGTATATGAATACAGCGTACGTACGTTATAGAACGAGTTTTACGCATGGTAACTGCCCGGACGTCTGGACCGGGTTCCAGACAGTCCGGTGTCCGGTCCCCATGTCCGGATAAAGCCCGCTGGGGCAAAAATCAAAAAAAAAAATGGGGCGGCCCAGGACGTTTGTCGGGTCCTAGCCGCCGCTCAAAAAATAACGGAGTGATTTTTAAGTGTCCTTTCACCCCACCGGACATGGCCTAGAGGTCCAGTGTCCGGTGTCCGGTCCCCATGTCCGGATAAAGCCCCCTGGGGCAAAAATCACAAAAAAAAATGGGACGGCCCAGGACGTTTGTCGGGTCCTAGCCGCCGCTCGAAAACGGAGTGATTTTTAAGTGTCCTTTCACCCCACCGGACATGGCCTAGAGGTCCAGACACAAGACACTGCAGGTTTTTGAGGTGTCGGGTTTCGCACAGTCCCGAGCAATTTCAAAGCGGCCGTTTTGACTTGGCGCCCGCCGCTGCTGCCCGTTGGGGGAGAGAGAGAGAGAGAGAGAGAGAGAGAGAGAGAGAGAGAGAGAGAGAGAGAGAGAGAGAGAGAGAGAGNAGAGAGAGAGAGAGAGAGAGAGAGAGAGAGAGAGAGAGAGAGAGAGAGCACTGACAGTGCTGCCAGTCTGAAGACTCAGACGTTCTGAATTGAACTGCAAAGTTCGAACTTTTAAGTTACATATGAACTTTATGAAGTTATGAACTGAAATTACTAAATCCGAAGTTCAAAGTTCAAAGTTAATCATACTTTTTTCAAAAAAAAATTCTCTGTTTCTTTAGTCTTGTGCCTGCTTTGCACTGTTTGCAACTCTTGCAAGGAACCTGACAGTTCACAGCTTGCTCGAGTGCATCAAACCGCATGCATACATGTCATCACACGTACAAAGTGGCCTCACACAAAACCAGGTTGAGATGAGATAAGAACCAAGTAGCACAGCTTATATTATCAATGTCACTTAATACAAAGAGTATCATGAGTTCAGCGCCAACAAGAGGTAAGTCTCCCTCATCATACTACAGCGTGGAACCTGGCTCAGCCAGCATTCTCCTTCAGATCACAAGTGTGGCGCCAACAGGTAAGTGTCCACCATATCCAAACTCACTCCCTGTCTTCTCTCTCTTCTCTCTCAATAACTTTGTCTTGGTTCTCTTCCCTTCACTATGCATGCACACTCTCACCTACGAAGATCTACTCTGAATGTCACTCACTGATATCCCACTACTGACTAGCCCTACTACTACTAGCATAGGCTGGCGCAGCTATGGCTTCCCTGCAGCCAGCGCCCAGCTTATTTCCTCCCTGGCGCAGCTTCTTCTTCGGCGCCCAACTCCCTGCACTATAGCGCACAAGTGCCTCAGCACTTCCACGCATTAATGCCAATGGGAATCTGCCTGTGGGGGAGGCTGCCTCGTTTCTTATAGTGCTGGCCTCCCCTGGCAAGGTCTGAATTCTGCCTGTCCTGGTCCTTTCCCAGTCCCAGCCTCTGTGTATGTGTCCCAGATCCCTTTCCTTCAGGGGTTGCTGCTGCTGCGGCCTTCAGGCCTTGATTTCGGACTCCCAATCTGAATCTAGACTTTTTTTCTGACTTGAATCCGGACTGGAACTTAACTCTTGGACTTCTGCTGGACAGACACACCCAATGCACGAACAGACACTCTTCCAGGCGATGCCCCTCACCACCTGGGTCGCCTTCACACTCGTCTCCACCCTCCTCACTACACACCACTTACGGCCAAACTCTCCCAGCAGACCGCATGTATGTACCGTATAAGGCAGAAGACAAGCGCCAGATGAGCGCAATCGTACCACAGCTCTGATACCAAATTGCAAGGAAGATGAGCATTAGCGAACTTTGGCAATCAAACAGCATCATACATATGAGCCCAGATAGTCTTGACCTCGAACCACAGCAGACTGGCATCACGAGATACACCAAATAAGAACACACCAAGAGTTCAAAATTGACAATGYTGAAGTAGTCCCATCATCATCAACTACGAACCAGAGTTGATATCCTAYTGGCGCTCGGCRCCCAGACTACAGGTGGCAGATCCTATCTAGCCTATACTACGAAGCAGAATGATGRCATCAACARCGTTCCCGAAGTACGAGCATATGGCGACCAATGTCGCACGCTTCAGCACCAGRTATGTCTCTCGTAACACTCACAACCCCGATCCACACCGCACAGATGCCACTAGCACCCAAGGACCACCATGCGCCCCATCCAGCATACAGCAGCGCAGCTCGGCYATGGYTGCGTGCTCCTTCCTCTCGCCCGTGAGCRCGTGAGTGCCAGCCAGCCAGCGGATTGCGCAGCAGCGCTCACGCAGCATGCAGCYAGCACCCGAATGCCGAATGAGGAGGCAGGCCCTTCCCT